GATATGATTTATATCATGATGCACGTTATGATGTAAAAAAGCCCTACGTGACTGTGTGAGCTGAGATCAGGGACTGAAACAAACACTGGCACCTGGCAAGGATAATGCACAGTGCAGACTCTACTCTATAAAAAAGACATCTTTGCACACAAACTAAAATGTAGGAAATAACACACTAGGCAACCTAAATCTATATTACCTATGGATTACAAACATAAACCAATGTTAAAGAGCCAAAATCAATAAATATCCTTTTAATATTTATATTGACAAAGAGCTGTGCAGATAATGGGGTGAATAATTCCACACACAAGGTTGCATATTGATGACAGAGAAAATCAAAGGAGGTTAATTTGGTGATGAAAATCACAGTGGAATGTACAATTCATTATACTAATGTCATCTAAATGACCTATTTGTGCTACCTAGATTAATGTCGGAGAGGGCCGTAAGCTGCCAGACGTTCTGTATTTAGGAGTCCTGGTCATAAAACCACCGAAGAGGCACATAAAAAGATTAGCATAACTAAGCACAGTCTGGGTCGTCATCGCTGCTCCTTTACACCGGGGATAACAAGATAATAAATTGTCAAATAAAATGTTCTACCAAGAATGAACTTCTCTTTATTGGCATTAAGAGGATGCTGTACAAAACAGTTTGCCCTCAAAAAGGGCTGATTTGTGTGTGTAATACTGGAGAAGATACATGAACTGTAATTGAAAAGAAATCAGGCTTCTATACTTTACCCATTAAGGCCAAACTCTAGGCAAACAGCTAAAAACACAGATACAACATATGTATGTGACCTGACTTTTCAGCCAGAGGATTTGTTATTCTGTACAGTCACTCTTATGATAAAGACACCCCAGCAAGTTAGACACCCCAGCCAGATTGCAGACCTTACTCTTCTCCATCACAGTTCATTAATGCTGCTAGGTCTAGAACTCATTCCCACACTGCTGACTGGACAATGAAGTAGCACACTGATGAGGTCATACCTGTGCTCTTCCCTCATGTAAGCATGTTCACACAAAAACTTGTGCACACAGAACATGTATGATCACTGCTGACCTCCTTCTGGCTAGTCTGGCTTCAATACTTTCTGATTAACCCAGAAAAGGGCAGAACTCCTAACCTGTATACATTTCCTATGACTGAAAAGATTAAAGTGTATCTAAAGCCAATGGTCTGATTTTGCATTGATTGCTGTCTGTGTCTCTGTTGGGGAGGTTCACCCTCTCTATTTTGTGTCACTGGAGCAGGAATAGTGGGGAAGAACTCAAATGAGGACACTTGTTCCAGTGACAGCTGGAAGATTTTCCTTGTTTGTGGAGATCTGCACTCACTTGTTGTCATGTCGTGAGCCTGGAAATTAAGACAAATCTCCCCAATGGGACACAGACAGAAGTTTTAGGCATTTCCTACTAGGGATGAGATTAAGGAATACAGTAAATTTAGGGAGTTGAAAATTTGCAGGCCTAGCAAATTTATGTGGAAATTGGACAGACCAAATGTTTTCTAACTATAATACACTACCTGAACCTTGAACTTTTGGCCTTTGATCATCTAGATTAGAAGGACCAATAATGGGAGATGTATTATGTGTCAGCCCCTTCACAAAAAAAAGGAGGGTTCCAGCAGCCATTTGTCAGTGTGCATTGCAGTAGCTTAGGAAGAGCTCACAGTCTGTGTAGGGAGAGAGTAAGTTTCTTTACGGACCTATACTGTGCTTTATTGCACTAATTTACTGTGGACTGCAGTGTGGTGGGCTACATATTCTTGTGCACCCCCTGTTTCTTCACAGTTTAGAGAGCCAACAGCCCTTTTTTAGGACTATCTTTTTGTACGTGGCAG